TTTGAAACAATGCTTGATTTCCTCCTGATGTTAGTTCACTCGTGACATTCTTTTAGTGCCACAACAATACCAATTGCCATGTAGAATTGGGAATTTTCAATATTACAAGTGTATAGTTTCGACATAACACTTTCATTAGGCTGTGAACCAGAGAGAGCTATTATAAAGTAAATAAGTAATCTCTCACGTCGTCTTTTCTTCATTATAGTCAATATTTATACCATTGCTTCTACGCATTTTTACAGGTCAAAATTTGCAAAATAGTTTCCCTCTCCCTCTGGTTTCCCCCTCTTTCCTTAAAAATGATGTACAAATCGATGTGGATGTAAAATAAATATGTAATTTCCCAATTGTGGGAAGCAAATAACTTCTTGTGTTGCAGGCTCTAATCTTCCTCAAATCCCCCTTCGTACATGTCTTCTTCTCCATCTCCAAAGTCATTGTCGTCTGGCTGCACTTGATCGGCGTCCCCAGCAGTGGGCTCCTGAGCAACATTTGCCTCAGTTTCATCTCTCTCCCCAGTTGGGCGAACTGCAGATTCAGCCTTCACTCGCATCGATTCGATACTATCATCGCTGAAAAACGAGGTATATGGCTTTGAAACCTGCAGAGTGGTGTCATGGAATGCAAATTATTTTTGCGAGTCAAGCAAAATATAAGGCGGCTGAAACAGCGACTAGTAATGAAAAGTAGCTCCAAGCAATGGAAAGTTCACCTTAAATAAACAATCCCTCTTCTGAGCACTTTCCACCAAGTTATTCCAGTGTTCATCCCTCTTCAATGTTGAAGCAGAACCTACCACCTGAAATTAGCAAATTTGATTGAGTTGTGAATAGTTGCACTGAAGAACTTTATCTCTACTTAGTGCCACATCTTACCAAGATAGAAGATCTTGCCCTGGTGATTCCGACATTCATTCGACGACAATCAGATAAAAATCCTATAGATCTGTTCTCGCTTGCCCTGACACAAGAAAATATGGCGATGTCCTTTTCCCGTCCCTATGAAAGGAGATTTTCTCTTAATTATCATACAAAATCCTGACTGATGACATGAATTGAGGCTGCATTAATAAAGGAAAATCTAAAACTTGTTCTTTGAGAAGCATGTTTATGGCACGTGTGTAAGATGTCCTGTCCAATTAGCCAAAAAGTTTCATGTACATTATGATTTATAAACCGATTACCTGGCAACCGTCAACACTTGTAATATCCACTATGCCACTAGGGTCAAGTCCAAAAGTATCCTTAAATTTTTCTTGGAGAAGTTTTACTTGCTGGCTATAGGGTGATATGATTGCAACCTGAGAATTTGACTTTAACTCTGGATATGAAATAACCAATTTGTGATACAGGAGGAGGACAAATTCAGCCTCATCAACATTCACCCAAGATCCACTTCCTGGGGGCTGAGATTCTTTCCCTTCATGTAAATCAAAGAAACAGAAAGGACCGTAACAGCGGAATGCATGCCATGCACGTGTTGTCCGCAGTTTGACATCCGGTGCATCCTCCAGTGACTCAGCATAGAACTCCCTAGATGGAAAGCTTCTGATCTGATGAAAATAGAGAGAGATCAAAGTGAGGAAACAAAATATTGATAGGACAGAGAGTAGGAATTTCGTTGAAACAGAATGCAAATTAGAAGTATGGTGAGGGAATGCTGAGAGTCCTGCAAACTGTCCTACTCTCAGATCTAGCCAAGATTTTCCTAATTCCTCCACCACAGACACACCTGCCTATGGTTATAGTTTCCCTCAGTTTCCAATAACAAGTTTAATCCTTCTACCACTAGATACACTAGCTAACTAAGTCTCTTTCTTACAGAATCCCCCCTTTTGCTCTTTTACTCTTCTAACGCGAGTATAGTACATTGGAATTTATCAAAGATCAATAGATTATCTCTAAGGGGGTAAAAGAGAGAAAAACATCCATCCTTCTTCATGCAGATGAAAGAGAGAGAATGGGTTTAATTAAAATTTAGAGCAGGTGATTCTTTACAAATCCACTCATGAAGATCCTTTATAGCGGGTGCATAACTTAGATGAAAAGATTGGTTCTATTCAATACCACTAGAAAGAAATTCAGGGAAAATGTAATCTTCGCTTCTTCTTTTTTTCCTTCAATTTTGTAAATCTAATTAAGGCTATCAAACCGATTGATGCAGCAGATAGCAAAAACAAGCAACAAACGCCATTATTATTGAGAGGTCCAACAAAGAGGTAAAAGGATATCTGCCCGGAACCTTCCAAAGTGAAAACGAGCAAAAATTTCCAATAACCAAGTATACAGCTCTAAAAAGATTATATGGGAAAGCGCATCATATTCTTTTCCAAAGGGTTTAAAAAATATAAGACAGGCAAAACTTTCTGCCTGTTGCAAAATATACTTTGACAAATAATAGTTTACTGACAAGGGACAGAATGGACAGAAAGAGTCTCATCCACTCTGTTCCATATTTATCTTGAGTAACAACTACTACTTATGAGATCATACTCAGCTTCACAAATCCATCCAGTGCTGATTTCATTAGGGTGTGTTTGGGAGTGATTTTGACATGACCAAAATCACTTTTGCCACGGTCAAAATCACTCCCTTTCTATTGATCATGTTTGGCAAATTAAAATTTGAAAAAATTGATTTTAGGAAAGTTTAAAATTACTTTAAATTGATTTTAAAGGTATCACTTAAGTGATGATTTTGGAAAATTAATTATACTTAAATCTCTTTTTTCAAAACCACTCATTCTACCATCACTCCCGAGAACACCCTTAGTATTCTGGTTGAAAGAGAGGACAAAAAGGCAGGATGATATTTAAAATTTCTGTAGATAGTTCCAATCTTACCTCCGGATGCATTCTATATTGGATCTTCAACATTGTAACAGGATACCCAGCTGTCTGAAATCTCTTGAACAAACTCTTGTCATATCTGCAAATTGGTCGGTTCACAAATGAATAACGATTACCATATGGTGAATGAAGAAGATATTATGAACGCTAAGGGAAAATATTCTACCCAAACTTCTTAGCTGTTGTAGAAATTACAGTGGCTGGAAGTTGCTCTGGGTCACCAACCTATGACAAAATAATAGTAAGAAAATACAACTACAGAATTACACAAAATCTGAGCTTCAAGAAAGTATGCGCAGTGGTCCACATGACAAAAGCTTCAACAGTTCACCAAGTTGTCAATCCACTTTTCGTGTTCCGAGATATGGAGAGCTATAGGCCTAACAGCCCATAATAGTTGTACTAACACTATTGAAGAGATCCAAAAGGGGGGAAATTGCAAATATACCAGGAAAACTTGTTTGCATCCATTAGCCAGAGGAACAAGGGTTGCCAATTCCACCTGTATAGAGCAAGTTCCATTAAAAGAAAGAAAAATTTAGCCAACACAAATGGTTCAAGAAAAAGCAGGTTTTGATGCATACGTTTCTACGTAAGTTTATGGAAGCTTGTAGAGTATAGAACACTCTAAAGCATCAAATAAGCAACTCATACTGTAATGGACATTTGGAGAGAAACAAGCAAAGAGTGGACATTTTTTTTTTTAACAAGAAACAAACTTTTCATTGATAATATGAAAAGGAAGAAAAAAGTTCAAGGATACAAACTTCCAAAGGAAGCAAAGAGTGGACATTTGAAAAACAAAAAAGAAGTCAGATAATTATCTGCTAAACCAGTCCACATCTGTTAAGAACAGATACTACACTTGATTTTAGCCAAAAGGCAGAGAAAGGTGTAAACCAGTCCCCTTGAGAGATTCTGTAGTCATATTCTAGCCACTGGGAATTTAAAAGCACTTACAGCTTGGGCAGCCTCATCTATTATAACAACATCAAAACCCCGATTCCATTTACTAAACAGAGAAGAACCACTAAAACTGAGTGTGGAGAAAACCTGCCAAAAGTAAACAATACTAAAGGGTAAAAAAAAATGATGTAGAAAGCTTAAAGCACTAAGGCTTATAGGAGAAATATTACATACAATAACGCTCTCATCCAGAATTGCAGAACGGATACTGTCTAAATCTGTCCCTGAAGCTCCACTTTTCGCTTTCCCGGTAGTCATACTATTTTTCTTTTGTTCCACCTGTAAAGGCACGTAGGTTAACTTTACCGAATTGGTCCACATTACTTTTGTTCTCTCTTTGCCTTTCTTCTTATTTTCTTTGAATCCTTTTTTTTGTTGCATCTTGGTGTAACTTGGTTGTAATGCTCTCCTATTTTTAACCATTAAGGTCTTACTGATTCAGTATCCAATTGGAGATGTTTTTTGTAACTCCCTTGGATACAAATTCACCCTTTTGAATCTCCCTTTTGTAACCCAAAGTTTTATATATCAATGAAATTGTCTCTTTCAAAAAAAGAAAAAAAAAAGATTTATCTTTTAATGCAATCATTTTCAACCTTTTTGCATTCTATTTGTTATATATTTTCACAATGAGCCTCTTGTAGTCTCCATCAGTTGGCTCTTTTTTTCTATTGATTCTCTATCAAATTGTGTGCTCCAAACAATTGCACCTAAAACACATTAAGTGTGCGTGTGTCTAAGAGAGAGAGAAAGAGAGAGATAGAGGTCATATTCAATGTCGTTTTGAATATTCCCAGATGCATACAAGTTCTTTCATGGAGACTGTCTTTATGGAAGGATGGGCTTTTAGTCCAATGCGCACAATCTTCGGAGTATATGGATGATCATTTTCATCACGTACACCTACACATGCCAAAACAAATACAGAAAAGGAGGAAAGAAGACAAACTATGTTAGGTTGCAGCAACAAATACCCAATACTGTCTGTATGTGGATTACACTGCAGCAAGGGTCCTTTTTATAAGAAAAAACATGGTTATACTCATCAAATCAGATGTAGAAAACAGAGGTCACTGATCTAACATCCAAGTTGGCACTAAAGCAACATATTTCAAAGGGTACATGCCAATTACAATGTAGATGTGCTAAATAAAGCATGTCTGCGTGGATTCTAAATGATGCCATACTGGAAATGCTCTCTAACATAAAATTTATGTTCCACAGATTGTATGCATATATCAAGATACATGGCCACCTACATGCAGTAGATAAACAAAAGATATTTACTTTCTTTCCTTTCTACATCTCAAATTAACTTGAAACACAACTACATGATGAACTAAGTAGTCTATGTCAGACAAATGGCAAGAGGAGAGCTCTTTTGTGGTCTCCCTTGACTTTGGTTAGGGAGGATGTCTTTATCTTCATTCTTCCCTTTCCTTTTTCGCTCCTTTTTGTGAATGGATAATGGACAATGTTTCTTACCTAAAACGGCTTTCGTTTTATTATTTAGAAACATACTGTAGCCAAATTAATTCAATGCTTGTTGGTCATAGATCTAGACACAAGAACTTATGTACCACTCTTACTGCTTAGTCCATGCAAACAGCCATAGATACACACTTGTACAGCTCCGAATAGTTACTCCCCATATAGTTATCAAGCCAACAAAATCCAAATCAAAATACAGCTCAATTGGGCAAGTCTAAGGAGATAGGGAGGGTGGAAGGGATAACTTTACCAGTGTTTTGAACGCGCAAAACAATCTCATCAAGTGCAGAGTTAGATGGGGCACATACAAGCACTCGTACACGATACTTACGATTTGACTTTACTACTTCTGGTTTCTACACAGGACATAAAGTAAGGATCCATGATTTGAGGTTAGCTAGATATAATGAATATACTTCAACTTACGAGTTCATTTCCTGAGGTAGGGAAAAAGCCATCATCCCCATTTACTGGCATTATATTATCTCTAGGATTTATACCATTTAACCATGGTGATGCTTGTATCCAGTGATCGTATCTGTAAAAATGTTAAAAAGAAAAAGTTTCAGAGATACCTTAACTTTTACAAAGTATAACATATTTATCAGCATGAAATAATTCAGATACAGATTTTGTAAATAACCTGGGATGCAATGATCTGATAGGTTAATTGGTTACATAAAGATATGAACAATTTATTCAAGGTAAATTGCAAATGCAAACATAGGCACTAAAGAACCTATACGTACATCAAATAATGCCACAAAGTTATCCCTAATACAGTCACAGATGATGAACAAGAGATGTTAAAAACAATAACCTACTTTTCCCTCACAGGTAATTCTGACCCCTGCTTTG